ACCGAACAGAAGACCACCTACACCAAGTGCAACCAAATTCATCCCAAGCCCTGGAGCCACACCAGCGACAGCATTTAGTGGACAACATAACGAATGGGTTGGGGCAAAGAGGAAAGTTCAGGTTGTCCATGAAAACACTCCCGAGGGATCGAATAGTGTTGGCATTTCTGACCGATCCAGCTCCGTTGTTCCATTTAACTTTCCTGTCTGCAGTGAGAGCCTTCTAGAGCGTAAGGACACGTTTGACAGGTAGCAGCGGAACTACGTGTCATGCTAGGTCTGGACTCTCTCGAGACAAAACTGTGTCAACCGTGCGAAAGTACCCATTCACTCACAGGAAAGCCTGCACCGGTGAACGTGACTCCACGCTCAACCTGAGATGCCGGAAGGTTCCTCTTACCGTCACACAACCTGATCATCAATAGATCCTCCAGCTTTAGGGATAGACCTGACCGATTGTGGGTGTCAAGACATACATTTCGAGAAGCCACTGATCCATAGAAACCCCCATCCATGGTCATAAGTGAAATGCCTAAACTGGTGGCCGGTACACCTGGTGATAGGTACGGTCGTGACGCTCAACAATGAGAGTGTTCATCATTTGGGATGGAGCTTAGTAAGGTTGCATTGGTGGGAGTTGGTGGACTGCCATGTCCCTGGCATCTGAAAACCATCACCTCAAACCAACGGCCATCAAATTCAAATCCCTAGAAGTTCTCACTAGAGTGCTAGAGACGTGATGTGAAATCAAGAGCGCCATAAGCGGGAATGTTCGCTGCCGTGAAATTAGATTTAGAACACTGCGACAACAGCAGGCAGCATTTACCCCTAGTGCTCAGGCCGTCATCACCCCGCACCGACAAGCTTGGAATCAGGCCGGCAACCTCCGCCTCGCAGCGATTGCACTGGTCGTCCCAGGAAAGAAACTTAATTGGAACTGGCCTGGCAGTAAAACCCCATCAGGTTCATACATGTGCCACTGGCTGACTTAGAGACATCTCACGTTACAGGGAGAACTTCCAAGTGTTTGCACAGCAACGTGAGAGGACTCCGAAGCAAAATGTCAGGGCCCCGATCCCGCCTTTTCGAAAATCATAATCGTGATGAAGGCATGGTTGTCGCCGGACGTTGGTGACACTGAAGTTAACATAGATAGCATGTTTCTGCCCAGGAGGGACGGGGAACACAGGGACGGAAAAGGAGTCCCGTTTTACATGAACAGTTGGTTCAAAAGTGAACAAACCAATAACACTGTATTGAAAGAGCTCCCAGACCCTATCTGGTGCCACTTCATAGTCAAACACACCAAGTGCCTAGTTGGAGGAGTCTATAGGTCCCCTGACAGAAACGTAGAAAACAACTGAGAGTTGCCCCAAGTAGTGTCTACGTGTCGACTATTGGGCATGACGAGATCCTAATAGCTGGCGACTTCAGCGCTCCAACACAGCCTGGAGCAAGGTGCCGCTACTCCAAGCCAGAAGTTCAATTATAACCTGCTAAATGCCATCCAAATGGCTGGACTGCACGAAAAAATTAGCGACAACACGCGCTAGGGGTCAGATGGTAGACCATTTAAACTGGATTACATAATGACTAGTCACCATCTTCTGGTTGAAAGCGTCCAGGTCCAAACTCCCCATGGAAGCAGCGATCATGCCGTGGTTGTGTTTGACCTGGTGATCACTGAACAGTTGTCGTGGAGGGGTCTCGCTTTCACTTCTGTTACAACGGGGTAAACCACGATGGAACGAACCAATGCCTATCGAGAGCTAAATAGACAGTAGATTGGTGCTCCTACACTAGGAACTGGTGAGTGACATCATTAGGGTGGCGATCCCTCAAAACGTCTCCTTGATGGTAACGACAACCAGAAAGCGGACCTCATGGCTAGAACGAGCTACTGACAGCCTTCTTAATACCGACGGAGAGAGGCACGGCACAAATGAGGGCTTTCCAGAGAAGGGGACGGTCATGACAAATGCGGCTCTACGAAGTCTACGCAACGCCAGGGCGCGGGGAGACAGGAGGTCGCTCCAGTCCGACCTCGCCAAGAAGCCCCCAAAACCGACGTCTGTTCATGGAAATGAGAAAGTCTACAATCTATGGAGGATGCGTCACACAAGGTTCGAACAGAGAAAACTCCTCTGGACAGGAGACAGCCAAAATGTTGGGCACCACGTTTGACACACAGCTCAACATTCTATAGGGAAAGTATGCATTCCTACTGCCCGAACAGCTGCCAAAGTTATCCGACGCTACGGTGTTGCACGAGATGCAGATAACTTGTGCTGCTGTTGTAGATAAGCTATCGAAGCTACGCCCGGGGAAGTCCCCAGGATGCGACGACATTCGCCCGTCTGTGTTGAAAGAATGTGACAGTACCCCAAGTGGCCTACACTACAATCTCGTTCAACAATCCTCAGACGAACAAAACCCCCACGAGGGTGGAAACGGCCCATCTCCTCTCTCTCTTGTCTTCAAAGGAGGGGACAGGCAGGATTTAAAATGTTATGGACCAAAAGCACTTCTACAAGTAATACCAAAAGTTGCGGGAAGTAGGATAAACTACCGCACCAGGGGGTATATAGACACAAAGAGAGCACTTGGTGCTGCTCAGCATGGCTTCCGAAAGGAAAGGTCCTGTACTTCCAACCTCTTGACGGCCCATAATCATGGGACAGCATGCTGGGATCCCAAGGTCCCAATCCATGCGATTTTTCCGAATTCCGCCGAAGCCTTTGACACCGTCTCACACGCTAACCTAATACACAGCACAGATGGGTTAGATATCTTCAGCCGGGTGCCATCGTGGCTACAGAACTGCCTAGACAGTGGGGCCTACTGTACGAAAGTCAACAGGGTCCACTCAACCTGGGGAATATCATGATCCAGTGTCTCAGGAGGAGAAATCCTGGGTTCGTTGTTGTTCCTACCGTTAACGAATGACCCCTTTCTGCATATCAGCTCTCTGATTCTCCTCTACGCCAACGAAGCCAAGTTACAGGGGACAAGAGCTTGCGAAACGGAGCCGAATGCACTGCAGAACGACCTCGAGATACTAGAGGGGCGGATGAAGAACTACGAACCGGTATTCAACCTGGATAGGTGCTGGTCCGTGCTATTCCGCACCTCTGATCCACGGAAAGTATCTGACACCCTCTCTGGTTCACATCTGTCCAAAATCGCAGCGGAAAATGGCCTGGTTCTAGTGGTGATCGAGAAACCGGACACTAGTTCAAATTACGCAGTAGCAACCTCAGCAGCATACGTCGTACTGCACTTTATGTGCAGAAAAATCGGTGCCCCCACACACAGCTCTTTCTGATGCTGTGCAAGACTTATGTTCGACCCTACTTGGAGGTCCACAACACAGAGACATACGGTTTACCCATTTGTAGCTAGAATACGAACTAAACAGACTGCTGTCACACGATTCTAACCTTATTGCCTCTACACCAGTTTATTCCTACTTTAACCATTTAGGCCCTCTTCATTCTTTTCACTTGCTACGAATTAGCTTCACCTAAGTTTTTGACTTCTCTGCACCTCCTCGTCTTACTCGGGTGTAAGTGGATTACTCCATTGTCCACTTTTCTTTGGGTTTTACCCACACACATTTGTCTTTCTGAGTTTTCTATTTATTATCCCTAGCTGTCTCCAACGATGAGTCCGAATAACCGTCTTGCAACTCGACATCTGGAGAACCCAGCTGCACCGCAGTCCAGGGCAAACTACTCAACACTCAACCCCCCGTTCCGTATACCACAGCCTTAGCGAACGGGTGGCTTGATCTACTGAATTGCGATCCGCCAAAGACCTAGGACCGTTCCACAAGACCGAGGAGAGAGTATGAAGAAATCAGTTGCTTTAAACAGGCCGGTATCAGATATTAGGTTTATTTCCTTTCAGCACTTTTGAACCCCAGACTGTTCCAAACAGATAATGAGCTTCATTAGAACAGACGCAGAAGCCAGAAGAAAACGGTTTAGTATTTCTTCAACATGAATTTTGAAGTTAATTCCAAGCACTGAAAATTGTTCAGTATTGTTGGGGCTAAGGGGAAAGACGCATCCTGAAAGACTTAAACACATGAACCTATTTACCTTGGGTTGTAGCAGGAAAAGGGGTGACCTTATTATGGCATACAAGATGGCCCATCAGGCGGACCACGCACACGAATCAGTTATGCCTGCAACTCAACGATCTTCACGAGAAAACCCATCAAGATAGCACACCAGAGAGCCAACACCATACTCAGGTCCAAATTTTTCTCCCTAAGAGTATGTGCTTTATGGAATGCCTCACCGTGACATATCGTTATAACTCCCTCAGTCGACTCATTCAAGAGACGATTAGACAGTTATGTCACCTCGCATGGACTACCATGGACGTACTCAGGTAGTCACCAACCTCACTAGCCCCCAACCCCCTCCTAACTACCACTCACTATCTCCCTCCTTAATACACCCACATTACCTACTAATTCTTCTGTAGGAACCAAACCCACGCTACCATTCACGCAATTCCCAAATACTTTTCTTTCTTTCTTATCTCTCTTTTTCACCCCTTCTTTTTCTTCTCCTTCCCTTCTTTTCCCTTTTCCCTACCCTCATTATTATTTTTTCTTCCTTCTTCTCTTTTGTTCTCTCTTCATTCTTTTACCACTACCTTACTATTCTCTCTCAGGTACCTACACAGACAGGAGTCAAAGCAGTTCCCTAAATTTCTCAGCAACCCGTTGCTCCCCAATCATTCTACGAATTACAACTTACTAACCCACAAAACATTCACCTCACCGAAGCGAAAAGCAAGAAAGCAGAGGGGATTTCCGCGTCCAGTGCAGGAATGAACCGAACAACTTGAACAAAGCCCTAAGAACTAGACGCAAGAGGACAAAAACTACCGGTTTTCTACGCCAGCACTATCAATATTGGTTGCAAACTTACTAGAGTAAAACAATCTCGAGCCTCCTTTAAAATACCTATTAGTTATCACGCAAGATGCATCGCTGGGGCATATTACGTGCCTTAAGCGCAGCTTACAGGGAATATCAAATGTGCATTGTTTTGGAAGTTTGTGAACCATACGAGAAAGTGCTGATAAGTATCCTTTGAAGAAACTTAGGTGTCTTTTTATTTGAATAAATACTTAAGTATTGCGGTAAGTATTTTTCCGTGGTATTCACCAGTTTTAGGAAAATCAAAAGCGACACTTTTGGCATTTTGCCTAATGTCTGACTGATTTCTGAATATTTATTTGTTAAACACCTCATCTTATTATCCTAACTACAGTAACAGTTAACTGTCAACAAGCATGATTTATGAATTCGTAACATTACGAAATTGACTGTTGTTTATGATCATCATTAAGCATCTTAGAATACAAAAGCACTATTCTTACAAGTCAGTTCGCATTTCACGCGGTTATATCCTTACTTTTCATCTAATGATAAATAACAACAGATAGAATTTCCTTCCTATACCAAGTATTAAAAGCAAAGTAATTTTTGCCTTGAAGAAACTCCAGATTTTTAAAGTTGTTAGTTAGTTTTTCCAACGTGTAAATTCATCTAGCATTATTCGGCTGTGATTTGTCTGATGTACATCTTTGGAATGCGACATAAATCATAAGGCCTTTTATTTGCTTCCATAAGTACTGCATACGAAATTCAATCCATTTCACATGAGAAGACCTTCTTAAATCGTTTCCCTAATAGATGGATTCACAGTATTTATTGCTACAGTCAGAAAATATGTGCCAGTGGAAATGGATGATTTTCGGGGACTCGACTGTTTCTACATAATTAAAACACGTGACAAATTTCACGGCAGAACTATCTAGTTTTTCACCAGTTCATGAAGATCAGAACGAAAACTTTTGAAAATCTCACACTCAGAAAGAAAAGCATGATCATTCAGTATATACACAGCTTTTTGTCGTGGTATCATTACAGATTTATCAGATTCAGATTTGTTGTTTGAGGATAGAAGGCTGGGAGCCTATATTAAACTTTACTAGTACATTTCTGTGTTTGTTCAAACTCCTTTTGAAAGAGTCAGTTCATGATGCAGACACCATTTCCTCTGAAAGTCGGTTCCAGGCGTTGATTACTGGACATGAGAACCAGTAATCTGTGGAGACTATGTTCTTTCTTTGTTTTTTAAGCCTCTTACTATGTCCTCTGAGGAGTTCCAACCTAGTGAGAAGGAAAAAAGAAGACAGATCAGATCCAGAGTCATTTCTTAGAATCCGGTACAGCATGATTAGGTCTCTCCTGTTTGCGATAGGACAAAGAAAAGAGGTTCAGCTCCTCAAGCCGATCTTCATAGGTGAGGCTAGCCATCTCAGTGATCAGACGGGTGGATCCCTTCTGAACTCTTTCAAGAAGGTCTGCGTCACCTTCCAGACACAAATCTCGCACTCGTGTACAGTTTTCTAATTTAGATCTAACTAAAGATATGTATAAGATGGTGAACATATCACCATTTATTTTAGTAAACGTTCTACGTAATGCCCACAGAGTCGTAGAACTCCTAGCTGCTACCAATTGACAGTGTACCTTGGCTTTCAAATCATTACTCGTTGTGACACCCAGGTCACTGTGAGGTAGTACTGATGATAGTTGATTCTTATCAGCAACGTAGATGTTGTTTTGTGCGTGCCCAAAGTGCATGCTCGCATATTTACCCCCGTTGATAGGCATCTACCAATTCTCTATGTAAATAAGCTGTTTATGTTTGCCTGAAGTGCACGCATATCCTCATCGTTCCTAATTTCCCACCAGGGTTTACACTAACAGCATGGAGAACCACTGAAGATTTCGTGATATTTGGCAGCTCAATTACGTATAGGAGAAACAGTAGGAGGCCCAGGACTGTGCCTTACGTCACTCCAAGAGGAGAGTTGGGAATTTATTCTCACTCTTTGTCTCCTATCACCGAGGAGCTGTCTTATCCATGCAGGCAAACTATCAGTGATTCCAAGACTTTGCAGTTTCCTGAGCAACCTGGAGTGAGGTGCCTTGTCAAACGCCTCACAAAAGTCTATGAAAATGCCATCCACAGATGTCCTATTATCTACAGACTTAACACAACTTTCTGTGACCATGAACAGGTTTACCGGGCGAGAGAAACTTCTGCGAAAGCCATGCTGAGTATGAGACAATGGAGTGTTACTGTCTGAGTGGACTGTGATGGGTTTCTTGATCACTCTTTCTAGGATTTTTACTACAGTAACAGTCAAACTTATCGGTCTGTAATTTGAAGGGTGTTGCCTTGAACCTGTCTTGTAGATAACTGCAACTGTGGCATCCTTCCAGTCATAGGGGAGTGTGTCTTCACTGAAAGACTGTCTAGATATAGTAGTCAGTGGACCGGATACGTAGAGTGTAAACGCTCTGTGCAGCTCATGCGGTCCCATTGATTTTTCCACATCCAGATTACTAAATATCCAAAATTTATCATTGCGATCGATATCCACGGAGTTTATTCTGTTGGATGTCAATGCTTCTACTGTTGGATAGGTATCCACAGAGGATTCTTGTGTAAAGACCTCAGCAAATATCCAGCCATAGCCTCTGCTTTCTCCCTATCACCCTCAATCAAACAGTCAGTTTCAATCCCATCCATTAGGGTGGGTATGCCACGACACATCTTATTTTTATAGTTCATATAGGAAAGTAACCTCTTTGGATGTCACAATGCAGTCTGGGCAAGACATATTTCAAAGCTAATTCGAGACCGGTAGATAGTAGCAATGCATTCATCTTGGGCTTTTTTGTACTGCTTCGTCACTTCGGGGGTACCGAGGTGGGTGGCAAGACTCCAACACTTTTTCTTGTGTCGTAGCAAGATTCGAATTTCGTGGTTTATCCACGGTGGACGGTTTTCCCCTCCCCTCGAGACAGTCTACGGAATGAACGGTTAGGTCACTCGTGCATATAAGTGTTCGAAGAAGCACCACGCACATTCAACTGAGGCTTCTGGATTGACTGTCCAGTCCTCCGAAGAGGCTGTCGAGTTAATATCTTCCAAGTTCGCTCTCTATATACTGGGTCTAGCTGAGGCATTGGTCTAGCACCAGAGGTCTGCCGCGGATCTGAAGATTATCATAGCTTGAACACTTTTACCAGGGGGTGTTAGATGCCTGATGCAGTGTGCATCACCAGTGTGTGAGAATACTGATTCTAAAAGTGTTGGAGCATGCTGATAATCATATCTGGTTGTTGTTCTAACGTCATAATTGGTTAGAAATAATCGTTTCAACTACACAGATTTTTCAATATCTTGGCTTGTTTTCCTTACACAGTTCTCATCGCTTTTAGAATCACATTTTGAGGCCTTGACCTTCTGATTTTAAGGGAGGCTATTTTAGGTTTTCAGAGGCGATTCACATGTAGTTGTTTTACTCTCATTACTTCATGAGGATTTTTGCGGCACGTCTTTATGATGAGTAGTTAAACAGTCTTTTTGTTACTGTCATTATTAATAGATGCTCACAGTAATCACCTTCATGTCACTCGATAATATAGTGACTAGGGTTGCTGATGAAATATTATTAAGCCTGTACAATAAATTTACTTTATCCATCTATTGACTCCTATTTCAAGTTACAGTTTATTTATAAACAACTGCTGTAAAGACTGTCAGTATCGTTCTTTCTAAACTAACAGGATTGTTCATGTGAGTGATTTCGAGTCGCGTAATGATATTTCATCCACTATGAAGGACAATTTTGGCTTGGTAGTTTCAAGTGGGAATAAAAATAATTGAGAGACTATGATATATGAAGAAATGACAAAGACTATGAGTGAGTATTGCGCTTGTGAAAGTTGTAGAACTCAGGCTGTCTCGTGATTCTAATAACAAAATAATTCAGATGATTTCATAGAAATACTCGAATCCACTTACATTGATAAACATAATTTTCCATTTAATATATACACTAGTTTATACTACTATATTGTTGGTTTATCCAGCAGTAGTATATATGTAGGAAATTTGCTGTGTATTTCACTAGGTAAATAAAAGAGACCCATTAGGTGAATTATGCAATAGTTATCTTCCGAATAGAAGACAGAAAGCTTTAAGGCCGAAAACTTAGGCACATTAAATGATATTGATCTTTTACTTCTGCTTCATTGGTGCTTTTTATCTAGGTTCTGATGAGCTTAAGAAAGTCTTAAGCTTGCTATCACTGTCTTCGACTGAACATCAAAATACTTCACAGTTCATGAAGAAATGACCTCTTGAAATAAACAGTTTTAGAATCCAAATACTTCATTTTTCTGAGTTCTTGCTCACAGTTCTCTACTACTTAACTGTATAAATGCCTAAAAAGAAGTCATCTGCCACTGGTGAAACTTTGTAATAATGCAGGTTATCCCACCGAAAATAAAAATCCTGGATTTGTGTATTTTACTTTGAATGACACTGACAGTTATCCACCTTTACAAATGATGCTCTGACATTTTACTGTCTACACAATATATCTGAAGTTGTTACCATATGGATCATACTGTCTTCAGAACCCAAAAAGTTGGTTTTAAACAATGACTGTTTTTTTGGTGGTGCACTTGGAATAAGGAAAACTACATATTTGTTTCACTTGAAGTCATTACTTACAATTACACTAGTAGTTGAAATTGTCTATAAATATGTGAATTAGTTTGTACCGATTGCAGACCACATAAATTACTGGTGCTTGTTTGAAGTTCATGAACTTGAGTGGTTCAGACGTTTACCACTTTTCATTCTTTTATAAAGTGATAAGTGATTAACTGGATACTTGGTAGCTGCCTACACAGGCACCCAAAAATCAAGAGTAGCTCTGAGTTTTTGAAGCATGGGTTTTGCTCTGTTCTGTAATTCAGAACAACGATTATTAAGGTGGGTATGTGTTTTCAATTAATTTAAACTCAGCTTTACATTCATGATTCTTTCTATAACATAGCCAGAGAAAATATAAAAGATGTTCAACTGAGATAACAAATAAAATAAATATATGGAATCGTACACTGTTGAATTTAAAACAAAACAATGTCCAGGTTACATTGTTTATATAGTTCTAATTCACTATCCTTTCTCTCAATATTTTTATTAGAATTTTCCATACATTTCTAACAGATACTGAACCCTCCCTGCTGTACATATTTAGTGTAGATTCGGTAGTTGGAAATTTTTTTATTAATCCACTTCCCATTTACACAAGTAAGCATTAAAGATGGTCATTCTGTTACGTTTTATTGTTTGTTTGTATGTAATTGTACGCATATCTACAACCATCTTTCGTTTCAGGTTTCTTTTTATCTTACTAGGGCTCATAAATCTTGACTTAGCTGACTTGTTTCCCGAACAACCTTAGTGACTACAATTGGTTTACTTTGACCAATATATTTGACTCTTCAATCATTACGGTGGATTTGGTAAACCGAATCACTTTTCCTAATTAGTTCAGTAGAATCCTTCAACCCAAAATCCGTGTATCTGAACAAGTTTGTATGTTAATACGCCATTATAACCCTAGCCTTATTGAGAATGCCTGTATATTGCCTTCCTTGTATGGCAACAATGTAAAAATAGAATTTAGAACATCTTTCTTATGGATCTCTATAAATTGCTGAGTAAAGTTATGAGATAGTTATTGAGAAGTAAAGGCAAGTTTGTCTTGTATACCCTCATTTTGATTTTTTAAATCACTGATTAGGCTCCTAGCTTGATTATTTAGGCATCTAACTGAACCTACCAGTACTTATGTGGCGTGCAGTGACTTGAGGTGCGAAAATCTACTAGGATGGGATGGCTTTCTGGAGGCACTTTTGTTTAAACCGAATTCCCATCTTTGAGCTTTTTTGGTTTCTTATAATTAGCATATCGGAATAACCGTTTTTGAACTGTGAAGACCTGTCTAGGAAATAAAATTGAAGAGAAAAATGGGAATTTTCAAATCAAAGCTCATATTACCTCGTAGTTATTATTATTATTCTGTATGTCACATAATTTCAACAATTATCTTCTTCAAAAATGCTAAGGTACAAAGAAGAAGCAAAGCTATGACAGTATCAAAATCTAAAGGTAAGAGTGTAATTGAAAAAGAATATTTCCCCAAAGAATGATAGTGCTACTCCGTTTAAAGTCGAAAAAAGTTTCCCCATACAGTTTAATAAATTCGTTAACCCAATGAAGTAGCGTATATTAAGAATCTTAGTGCCTTATAGTCGAATTTAACATTTTATAAACCTATACTGAATAACTCTTCTTAGGTAAATCTATTGAAATAACTAATACTAACTGAGAAAATGAATACTGCCACTCACTATGGCAGTTATTTTGACGTCATGGTGGGTTTTACCATTTGTAGTTATAGTTTATATTAGACTGTACGATTTAAGTTAGACTCTGACTGCTTATCATCAACGACGAGCACACTGTTCTAACCATTCCACTGACTACAAGTTATCCAACTCAACGATGTTACATAAGCAATCTAAACCTGCTTGATTTTACCAAGCTGATTAGAGGCTAAAGAAAAACCTAAGAAATAAACTTCTTGTTTCGCCTTTCTTCTTATTAACTGATTTTCTCATAACTGAGTGACTGAAATGCAGCTCATGAAACTATTTAAAGTTAGTGTTTAGCAATAAATCTATTGTACCAGCTGACGTATCTCAGTAGGTCTAGTTAGTCGCTCTGTTTCTTTTTGAAGAAATTATAGAGAGAAGTTATGTCACTTGTTCAGGTAGTAACTTTTAGTCTTTCACTATAACTTGAAAAATTTAAATTCTTCCGAGAGACTACTTGAACATAACAGACTAGGAAGCTAAGTATAATACATGCATGTAATAATTAGTCATATTTTTATTCAACGAAACTCTGAAACAAGTTTAGACTATCTTTATGAAGACGTAGTTTGATAGCATGCCAAAACATAGATAAACTGTTTATCCTTTTGCTTCATCTGTTGACTGCCTGTAGTTCTTTTCTGAATACCTTAGTAAATGTTTTATAATCTATCAGTAGATTTGATCTCTGTATTTTTGTCGATTCCTTGTTGTTCAAACTTATACTAATTGTCTAGAAAATTGGTGATATTGGCGAAATTCTCTTTTTTTCTTTTGAATTCTTGGTGTCATCGTAGTGGTAATTTGTTTTATTTATCCTTTACAAATCAGCCTTTTGATGTGTACAGTTTCACAGTAAAAAAAATTTATTTATCTATGGCAGATACTGGTAAAAAGGCTTGCAATCATAGGATAGTTATGAAGAAGCATATTTAAGTCTATATTCCTATTGAAGGATTTGATTTGTGGTCGGCTTTAATATCTTTGTAAGAGTTGGTCTTCATGATAAGCTATCTTAAAAGTTTTTAACTCATCACGTTTTTAGATTAACCTAATCAGTTTGACAACAATTCAGTGTAAAAAAAAACTTACTGAACATGAATGTATAGGTTGAAGAAGTAACTGAGTTGAGAATAAGGTTCTGAGGAGGAATGGTCATATTGGCATTCAATTTTAGTGTATCATTATTACCTACATCTTATTCTACTCGATCACTTCATTTAGCGACGGGGGTTGGATTCGAACCCATGCAAGGAAATGACACTTGGTCACTTCAGTTTAAATGAAAATATAGCTATTATTTCGTTCTTTAGGCCATCTACACTGCATAAAGAAAAGTCATCCCACTGTTCCAGGTTTTTATAACCTATTTCAGCTTCATTTTCTAATTATCTAAGCTGGTTTATATCCTTCTCACAATATTGAAAATATAGATTCTTCAGTTTATATTGATGTATAAACTTACCTGTGTACTCTCCATCTATGAGTTTACCTTTACCATGTATCTGTCCAGAATAAAAGAATGTACCTATCTCTCTTCTAATTGTTACTGAGTTACACTTCTCGTTACTAAAATATTGAGTGGACTAATTTTAAACAAACTTATTCACTCCAAATATATCAATAAACAGTATACATTTCAATAATTGAAGCAAATGACTTTACGCTGTAATTCATCATCTTATAACGTCAGTTAGAGGAATATTGGAAACCTGGGGGCACTGGACAGCTGTTTCGTTCTAGTATCCGACTTCTCAGCAATGTGTATCCATGACCCACCCAGAGATGATGAATTCTAACCTAAAGTCAGTAAATAAATCTCCAAAAACCTTCAGATAAGCAATTGTTTAATTTTTTACAAAAACTATTTGACTTATTTAAAGTTATACGTACTGATGAATATACATTTGTGTTATACCATTATATGCTAATGAGAAAGTTGTGTAAATTTTCCTTACAGTTAATTTTATCCTAGATATTTGTATGCTTTTAATCCTTGGCAGTCTTTGTTATATAATATTGCTTTTAATTCCTGGAAATTTCATCACTCTCTACTATTTTCTATTTGACTGTTTCAAATGAACTTGAAGAAAGAAAAATGAAAAGTGGATAAAGAAATAGTAATTCCATCATATAGACATAAAAACTTCATAATTATTTATCATTGCATTATTACCAAGACAAATTCAAGGTGTATGTTATTTAACTCTTTGGTTATTGATATAATTATGAAATTATACTATTATTATTTTTTATTTTCAGCGGGTTTTTCTTTCAAAACCTTTTTTTTTGGCGAACATTACACTTTTATGTCAATTTAAAATTGAACATTGGTCAGTTTAACAAAAACTTTCTGATAATTTGTTGTTTACTAGAATTTACGAATTATTTTATTATCATACATTGAACATTCTTTGTACATAAATGTTTTATCAATCTATTTGGTATTAGGAATTTTTTTTTGGTATATATGAGGAGAAAAAATATTGTTGACACTACCTTTTCTATGTATATCTCTGGTTTATTTTACAGTAAGTATTCACTAGACCTTAGAATCAATAGCTTAAAAGATATATCATTAAAACGCAATAAATTATGTTGGTTTATTCTATTTCATCAAATTGAAAACATTGTTCACTAATGATTGAAAGTTACATTGAGTGAATTATGAGGAGTTGATTTAATTGGAAAACAGTTTTTCTATATCTTGAGAGTGATATCTATTAGGAAAGTATTTTAAAGAAAGGATCATTTAACAGCCATTTTTATTTTACTATTTTGGGATACCATTGGAGTTTATTAACAATGATAACCTAGATTCCACCAGTGAATAACTTGTATATCAGTCTTTGAATTCTTGAAAACAGTTTGGCAGTAATAACTGTAGACATTTACTTCTTAGACAAAAAGTATTTCTTAGTTAACCGCAAGTTATTTCCAATACATAAGATCAGGCAGACTTTATTAATATACAGACATATTAACTTGAACAGATAAATAGAAAGATTGAAAATGATTTACAATACAAAAAATTTAAGCGAATAATCATTTTCACGATCTAAATATGGCAACCCATTCGCTTATAACTGCAATAATAAGTTATAAAAATTCTACTAACAATACTTGGATGTAATACAATAACTAATCCTAATTTTTCATGCATATATAAGCTTACCTAGTCAAAATCCTGAAGAAGGGCGACATAAGCCTTTGCGAGAACTGGTGCGCAATCATGCTCCTGTCCACCCAAAGCAAGCAAAATATTGAGCCCCATCATCCTGGAGAGACTAAACGACGCACTGGATTCAAAACTACCACCGGAACAGGCTGGCTGGCTGGATTCAGCAAGCACAATTCATGTGTGCACCAAATTGCAACGCTACACTACGCATCATCATACAACAGAGTATGGAATGGCAGAATGGCAACTCTCTACCTCAACTTCATCCACATTGAAAACGCCTTCAACAGCCTCGACCGACAAGTAATTTGGCAACTGCTTCAACACTACGGAATACCACTAACCTTTATCAACCTCATTCAACAACTACGTCCTATATGATACTACATGCCAGCCAAGTGATTCACAATGGAAAGCTCAGTGATGCTTTCGAAGCGAAAGTGAAGACAGGAGTGAAACAAGGCTGTCTACTATCACCTATCATCTTCCTGATTGTGGTCGACTGGATCATGCAACAGAAAACAGTGAGGAGCGAGAAGAGGGGGATACGCTGGCTGGACAGAGGAAAAGATCCTAGAAGATTTGGATTTCGCCACCGATGACCTGTGTCTGATGTCACACAAACTGGAAGATCTACAAACAAAAACTAACAAGTTGACAGAAGAGGCAGTGAAGATAGGAATTTAGGTGAACATAGAGAAGACAGAGGTGATGAAGATACCCAGCCAACAACAACAACAACAATAACAACAAGCTCCAATCACCATCAACGGGAGAAACTTAAAGGAAGTAACCTCCTTCACCTTTCTAGGCAAAGCAGCATAGTTTCAACTACAGGCAGCGGCACAGACAAGCATCTCAAAGCAGTCAGCATCGGAAATACAGCAAGAAAGGCGATCATCAACCTGAAATCAGTGTGGAGATCTTCTGCACTCAACTCAGCACAAAGCGTGAACAAGATCCAGATTTTCTACACTAATATCAGTCAAGTCAGTGCTTCTGTATGGTTGAGAGACTTGTCGGCGCGTTACGAAAAGCATTTCCAACAAACTACAGACACTCATCAACAACTGCCCACACTGGCTCGTTGCTGATGATCGGATGGCCAGAATGATAAGAGTAAGCAACAAGGAACTCACTCTGGCTGGCTGGCTGGCTGGCTGGCTGGCTGGCTGGCTGGCTGGCTGGCTGGCTGGCTGGCTGGCTGGCTGGCTGGCTGGCTGGCTGGCTGGCTGGCTGGCTGGCTGGCTGGCTGGCTGGCTGGCTGGCTGGCTGGCTGGCTGGCTGGCTGGCTGGCTGGCTGGCTGGCTGGCTGGCTGGCTGGTAACGAGCCAACCAAGAAGTTGTCGCTCAACAAGTATGCAGTGGAAGGAAGTGGAGATGGATTGGATTGGGCATACAGTGAGAAGGCCGACTGGGGATATCACGCGTGAGGCCAACCAGGCCGCTGATTGGAACTTAGATGGGAAGCGACGAGTTGGGCGTCGGATGTGAGGGTGACATGGAGGAGATCATGCGAGGGAATGTGAGCTTGTGGTCTGTCGTGGAGCCAGGTTCTAAAGACTGTAGAGAGCATAGTGGAATTTATACGTGCTACCGAAGCCGTATATTCCACTCTGAACTCGAGGGAGAAATAATGATTATAATAATAATAAGGCTAGAATGCTTCATAGGTCCCGTAAATGTCTCCAACCCAAGCATTTATTTTCTAAACAGACGTTGACATGAATGTCGTATGCATCGTTTTATATTACTATCCCTCAGTCGAAGGGTGTTTTCAGTAGATTTGTTTTCAGGCTTTCATATATATACCGGAAATGCCCGAATGCTATAGTTAGTTAGTGGTGGTTAGTAGTAGTATCTAGACTGTGCGATTAGTCTTGTTTGAAATTTATCACTTCTGTGTATCGGTGGCACTTATAACCTGTTTGTTGAAACTGAAATCCAGCCCCTAACACCACAGATCACTGGAACTTAGACAACAGATTACTAAATGTTTATGAACAACGGGGTAAAACCTAGGATTTTTTAAGAAAAATTCCATTTTCAACTTACGCTTCGAAAGTCACACACTGAAGTATAGCCATTCACATGACAACGAGCAATTTAGAAGACATATTGGCGCCATATTTAAAATCAGTAGCTATAAGAATATATAGAGAGAGTGACATTATGCGTAATTTCTAGTCAACTGGTGATTTCATTTAAATCCCCACTTCTGTTATTGTTGATAAAACTAAGTAAATAAATAAGTTAGTACATTTCAAAATCGGATTTACTTTAAGAGAATCCTGAGTTTTTATTCTTATCAATTCGATGAATAACATATCATGGTGCAAATCAATACAATCAGGTATATAACTAATAGATGACAATTAATAAGGGGAAGTTTACACGTATTGCATTTCTTAAACCCACCTGATGTGTTAGATAGGCTTATCTCTTAGCCGGATCCCATATAGGATGAAATTTATTCAAAAAAACAGAGAATCACATAAAGAACTTATTGAGTAAGTAATAAACATTTTACAATAATAATACTATTTTCAATTACTAATTTCTTAGTGTTCTTCTAATCATCTGCTCATGACCTAGGCGAATGTGAGTATTTTTGTATGGTTTTCATAATTGTTGTCAAAGTTCTTCTGTTGTTTTGTGTTTTACTACATTAATATTTTTATTTCTTCAAGAAAGTATCTATCGAGGTAAGTATAGTAACTTAGTTTATCTGATACACACTCACACGAACCCTTGTGTCATGTGTGCTATAGTAGATACATTTTCCGAAATTTAGTCCTTCGGCATTTTTAAAACATGAAATTCATGCAAGAGATGATAACAGACAAAGTGTTGTGTGAATCATGTTGTAAGTATATCGTTGTCTTTTATATAATGCAACTTATAAGTAATTAAGGTATGTGATCAGAAGTTAAACCGAATCGACCGGCCCCTATTGACATATGGGATCCGATTCAAATATCTTAATATTGTCCGCTATTTCACTTTAATAGAAATGATACACAGTGGCTAGCAGAAACATGTTTCATGCTATCTAAACTTTCTCAGTGATGTTATTCCCAATAAGACGTGGACCCAGGACTGATTCCCCCAGTCGCTAGAGTGTTATGCACTGGATCACTGAGTAACTGCTCCTGATGAGTTCTAAATAGGATGAAATTCTCGTTCTGGATTCCACTACCCATCACCATCTATTATTACTATCAGTTGGCTGGAAACGTTTTGGCTTTGTGTTAATGTGATTCATAGCGTCAGGCATATTTTATTTTTGTAGTACCGTATTAGAAAATTACAACAAATATTTGGTATTAATGGTAGATAGTGGATATCAGTGGAATCCAGAACATGCATTTCGTCCTATTTGGGACTCGTCGGCTGGATGTACTTGCCTGTCAGTGAGAAATGCAGTCCCCGTTGGGACTCGAACTCAGGACCATTATAGCCACTTCTAGTGCGACGGGTAAAGTTTCAGTGTTGCTTTTCCACTAAAAGCCACTATCATTAATATATGACTGAAACACATGTAATATTGAGTTATCCACTCAGGGGCCCATTAATCAATAGGGACTGATCAACTCTTTCCACACAGTGATGAGATGATACAAGCAACAACATTAAAAATTTTAGTATAGTTTATCAACATTTCCATTTTGCTAGTATGAGTAGGAATTTGTTATTTAGCTTCCAGCTTAAACTGAATGTTCGGTACAGAAGGTAACATTTGTAACCATCTACTTGAAATGTCATACAGAACAAACAAGAATGTAATTGAAGTGTTTGATATTAACCAATGGGTAATTATTATATTTATTATTTGTACCTTGGGTTCCTAGTGGAACATACGACTTCACTAGCACATCGCCATTCCACTCTGTTCTCAACA